CTAAAAAATAAAATATTTATAAAAAATATTTTTAAAAATCAATAAACACACAAAAATATGAAATTTTTGGTATTTAATGCATTTTCTAAAGATTTTTTTTCATAAATATTATAATTTTTAAGTGTATTTATGTTAATGTGTATCTAAAAATTAAAAAAATTGTTTAGCATATAAAAAAAATTCAATAAAAACAATAAAACACCAAAAATAAAAAAATTTAATTTTCTAAAAGTGAATCCTGAAAATCCAAACCAAACAAGCTAATTATTTTTCTATTTTATTACACTTTTAAAAATAAAAAATAAAAAACTAGCTTTTAACTTATTTCCCAAAACAACTCTCTGTTTCATAAAAATTTATTGGCAACTCTAAAAAGGAGAGAAAAATCATCTTAAAACAAAAATAAATTTTTTTTTCTCAAATATGATAGCCCTGTTTCAATAATTTTTAGATTTTTTTTTTCTTGTTTGTGTTTTCTATTTCTGTGTTTTTTTTTTTTAATGTTTTTGAAAACATAAATAATGAAAAGTTAGAAAACATTAGTCATTTTTATTTTTTTCTAAAAAATAAGTTGTTTTAAAAAAAATCAAAAACAGTTTACAAGTTATGTTTTTTTTTTTTTCCAGAAAATATAAATAAGTAAATAAAAACACAACTAAACAGATTTTGAACTTATTGAGTCTTTTAAGCCATAAAAAATAAAAAATAAAAATAAAAAAAAAGGAAAAAAAAAAGAAAAAAGAAAAGGAAAAGCTAATAATTGAAAAACTGAAATATTTTACCAAAAGCAACAAACATTGCCAAAAACTCAATCTAAAACAGATAAATCCCCCTTTTGGGTATTCCCATCTTTGAGAAAACAAAAAAATAAGAAAAAAAAAAAAAAAAAAGAAGAAGAAGAAGAAGAAGAGAGAAGCTTCTGATCCAAACAAGTTGGTGATATCATAAAGTTGGTTTGAGAGCTGGCGTAGAGGTGTTTCAGACTCCTCTCCAAGCAAAAATATCTATATACATACAGCTCATGCAATAATACACTTGCATTGGCAACAAAGCATCTTTACAAACCCATGTCAAGTCACATGCACAATTGAAGATTCAGTCACACCCAATCCAAGCCAAATAGAAGATTAATGTGTGTGTGTGAGAGAGAGAGAGAGAGAGCCAAGTTGGCTCATGGCTCATGACAGACTCTCAGATGCAAACCCATGTGGAACCATGTGAATTCAAACTAGCTTAGAGTGAACTCCAAGGGTTAGAACCAGCTAAAAGCCTGTGTTCGTTTTTGGGATAAGGGGGGCTCTTACTCTCTAATTCGATCCCCTCAAACAAACATCTCGCTCACTTGAAAGTTTCTCAATTGGAACCAAGTCAAAACAAAAAAATCCAGTAGTATCAAATCCCAACTATCAAGCAACTTCACCAATGGAATAAAGGGGGGAAAATCATTAAAATGGCACCTACATATAGCAACAAATTCAAAATTCATAAGAAAATTAAAACCAAAAAAAAAGAGAAGGGTTCTCAGGTGATCAAACATAACACATATCAACATCATGCAACCATAACTAGCTAAACTTTCTTAGGAAGAGAAGTTACGGAAAAGTATCCAATACTTAAAAACCCATTTATTTGTGCTCTCAAAAACCTCTTTGAAGGTCATATACATATTCCATTTGTCAGCATGAACATCTGAAAGGTCTAACATTCAGGTCATATCCAGTTAAATCCAAGCTCTTGAAAACCTCTTTCAAAGTCAGATATGTACTATTTGTCGGCATGAACATCTAAAAGGTCTCAAACCAAATATTTATGACGTTCACAACCACCCACTACCTACAAAGCCACTAATCCATGCCACATATTATCAACAAAATCTAGAAGCTACCCAATTCCAACAAAACTTTGATCAAAGAAAACTTCTTTGGATCAAAACTAAATCCAGTTGAGACCAGGAAAACATCATAAAATTTTAAGGCATGCCAGTAAGCCTCACATAAATATGCTAAATTCGACCCGAAAATCCTCTCTTGTCAACCCAGAGCAATTGACAGCTGATCCAGTACCAATGCAGAAACTGTCAATTATCCCCACTAACACAAATGTTTTCTAATTAAGACAAAGCAGAAGTCACAAACTTAAAAGGCACCTTGATGGGAAACCTAGTAGAGCCAAATAACTGGATCAGAGGTAATGGAGAGATAAGTGGTGGATATCTGGGAGAAAACTGGCAATAACAAAATTATTGGTACTGTGTAGGCAAGTGGTGGATACTCAATGAGCTGGGCAGCATTCAAAAGTTGCAGCGGTAAAGGTGATGTCAACAATGCTGCTTTTAAAAATTAAAGTGGGCCAACATGCAAGAATCTCAGAAGCTAGTTGGGAAAGTGGTGGACATTCAATTTTGGGTGTTCAGAACTTGTGGTAGCAAAGGGATGTCAACAATACAGATTTTCAAAATTAAAATGGACCAACATGCAAATAACTGCTGCCTCTTCACAAGGCATAGAGTACAAGCTCCATCTTTATCATTTTCCTCCATATAAGCAGCTGCAAGATACCTTACCACATGTCAATGCTTTTTTTTTCTCTTCCAAATATAAAGTTCCCATATTGTTTCCATAATTTATTAGCAGCATCTCTCCAGCTTGTTTTATCCCAGCCTTTTCCACAGTACTAACTTCAACAAGAATTCCTCTTTTATAATCACATAGATTGGTTTATTTCATGACTTGTCCAAAAAGAAAAAGGTTTACTTCATGTTGTGTTAAAATTATGATAATCAATGAAGAAGTTACCGAAAAATTCAATGCCCAGGTTCCTACTTCTACCTTGAAAACCATTAAATAAGCATCTCTCTTGTTCTTGTTCCACTCCATCACCATGTACGATTTTTATTCTTACTCCAATTTCCTACCCAAGTGGATGCTCTCATTGCCAAACCATTCCTTGGAAATTTAGTAACTTTTAGACTTTTTACGAAAAGATATACAGAAAAATAAAAAGAGTGATGTAACAAATTATAGGTGGTGTTTGGGAAGCTGTGGGGTAGGCTATTTTAGCCTCAAGTTTGAAAAAAGCTATGTAGCTTTTACTGTAGCTGAACTATTGATTTCTATTAAAAAAAAAATATAGCTCGGCAGCCTACAGCCAGTGGCATTGACAGCCTACCACTGTCACTTGGCAGGCTGTCCCACCGGTAGTAAATGACACTTTTGCCCCTTTACACCAATTTTGAAAAAAGTGGAATTAGAGACAAATTTGTCATTTTAACCTCGAACATCATTTTAAACACATTTTTCAATACAACTACTCAAATAAAAATTCATCCCATCTTCCCAAATACAAAAACTAAAATAGCCTACTAAAATAGTTAAAAAGCCAAAAAAACCTAAAAAATAATCACTTCCCAGACACCCACATAGTGACTTTTCGGCTAATACTGAAGATTGCCAAACAAGAAGAAATGAAATAGAGAATGAAGATTTTGAGAGAGACCATTATGTACCACAGCAAAACTAAAACCTATAAGCAAAAATGGATTACATAAATTCATTCCTACAAGTTTGTGGATGCAAGAATATGTCATGGATGTCTAGTTTATCCCCCCTCTCTCTCTCTCTGACTCTCTGTAGATGCACGCGTCTATTTTTTTTTTTTTTTATAATTTTATGGTGGGGTTGAATGACACAGTTGGTTTAAAAAAAAAGTCTTTGTGCCACATTAGGAAAGCAAACTAGCGCAAGTAAGTATAACATGTTTCACCCACTAGCTACAAGTTTAAGAATATGATGGTTTAAAAGGTCTTATATGACCAAAGTTGACTTTGATAAGTACCAAGGTGAGTTGGTGGCAATGCTCATAATTGACGCCGCAAACTCAATGAGAGCAAGAATAAGAGGGAGAATTGGTCCCAGCCTTAATAACATAAAAATAGCAGCTGCATCTGGTTTGCAAAGATTTTGAATCTATTCACCACAAAACAGTTGCTACTTACAACTTGGAGCCAAGTATTCCATTATCCAAAACCAGTCCATTATCTAAGAACATAAAACAGAGGTCGTCACGATTTCTATTTTCAGTCACCCATAACTTGCCTAACAGCTAAAACACTGAAACAGAATTTTACCATATCTGGGTTCAGGAAGTACAAATATAAAATGTTATGCCCTTAAAGATGGTGCATATCAGTTAAACAACACAACAATGATGCAGAACAAATATGACGAAATCCAGAAAACCAAGTTGGAAGGGCTGGGTTCATAAAATGAGTAATGAATGCAAACTCCAATAATTTTTATCCTAGTTAACAATAGACCAGTAGAGAAATTTCTCAGCCCATGGTTGAACAATAAGCTTGAAATAATAGCAGTTCCTAACAACTGCCGCATTCTTTAAGTAAAAAAGAAGAACAAGAAAATTACAAGATGAAAAGTAAGAACTCTGATTGGCATCAATGATGACAATGGCAAAATGTTGAAACTGATGTGTATTTATAAATATATGACACCAAGAGGAGTATTTACAAATCCTTATTAAACGAACTAAAATGATGGAAGGGAGAAAATAAGCAACATAAACACATCTAGAACAAATAAAATTATGAACATACAGATTTGTAACCACAGAAACAAGAATCTATCAGCAAAAGTTGGGCCTTTTAGGATCCCTAAAAAAATAGTAACTACTTCACCACAATGTGACAGCAATAGAAAAATTAGAATTTTTTATTTTTTAACTCAAAAAGTGTATATTGAGATACTTTTATTGTTAAAAGATATGTACAAAGAATTTTTTGTATAATATTATGAATGTTGTTGAATGTCTATGATATAATTGTCATTAAATTAATATTTCATTAAGTTTGTGCCCTAAGCTAACTTAGGTGTGTAGAAATAAAATTTTTCGACTTTTTTGTGTAAAAAAAATAAAAAAGTCAAAAAGCTGGCATCAATCAATAATACATTTCTCTATTTCTTTTTATACATTGCATTTTTTACATGGTATCAGAGCAGGTTTAGAATCTAATAATTTGCTTCACCGGCGGGCGGCAACCTCGTCTTGACCGCCCGCCGGACCTCTACACGTACCTTCACTCCGCTGCCAGAAAGTCATAGCTGAACTCTTCTCTGCCTCACACATATTTGTTCATCAATGGCGACATCGAGCCACCATCTTCTCCTCCTGTGGTGTCCGCTCTGCTGGTTTCAGTCTCACTCCTCTCCAGCGCATAAAATTGATTTGGGGTCTTTCTCAAATCTTCCAAATCATACCTCTTCAATTTATCTGTTTCTCTATCTGAGAAAAAGAATGGAACTGGAGTTGCCCCAGGAACAGGGGTATAAAGCACTGCAACAGTGTCTTCCTCTTTTGGCCTAGAATCCATCATTTTGCCATGGAAACGGGTATTAGACCGACTAATTTCCTTCGTTAATCCATTAAGCCTCTCTGCCCTTTCCGCCACAGTTAATGGAGCTTCGCCCCGATCAGACGGATTATACATCAACAAATTCTTAGCCGTATAATTCCACCCTTCCAACGTACTCGGAGGCTGATCCGACGTTCCATACCCATCCGTAATTCGCTCCCTCTTTGCATCCTCAATCAAACCCACTTCCTCCTTTTCACCTTCAATCAAAAACCCATACCTCTCCTTCCTCTTCCTGTTCACCTTCTCCATAATTTTCGAAAAACTATCATTATCCTCACTAGTATGCCTCCTAAAAAACTCATCAAGCGTCAACGACACATCAACCGACCCATCATTCGACTCACCACCACCCGAAAACTCATTATTCACTACACTAGGAGTTTTATCCAATTCAAAAGGAGTACTTGTTCTAAAAAAAGTCGACCCGGGCGTTAGACTCTTACCTTGAATCGTATCGTCTGGATTCGACGAAACCCTCGCGCCTCGGCGCTCGAGAATCTTCAACTGGGCATCGCGAATTTGAACAGGATCACCGCTCCGCACAGCTTCGAGCCAATCGAGACGGTCTCTAAGCTTGGGGATATCAGGGAAAAAGTCACGCTCGATGATCTTCTCGATTGAGGCGGCATAGGTGTCTTCATCGAGGACGATGGGTTGGTTTTTAGGGTTTTTTGCTGAAGAAGAAGATAAATTGTTAGGGTTTTCAGAGAGTGATGGTGATGGGGATGGGGAAGAGAGGTGGAGTGGTGAGTGGCCTGGAGATGAAAGCATGGTTCTTGGTGATTAGGGTTTGTGTGGATTTAGGGTTTGTGTGAAAGTGCAAAAGAGGGATTGAAAGACAGGAAATTGAAGAGAGAAAAAGGATTGAATTGGGTGGTTGGTTTGTGTAGTGAAGATGAATTTGTGTTGGGAATCTCAGAGTTGAGAGATCGAAGACGATGGTGATTTCGCGATAGCAATTATATGAAGTTTTGGCCAACGAAGCGTGTGGTGGTGGCGGTGGCGGCCAAATTCAGAGCAGTGTGGGTCGGGTTTGGAATCCAGTATATTGCGGGTCGGGTTTGAACCAAAATCTCTCCAGCTGGATCCAACTCAAAGGTGCTGTTGAGCACAATTATTATTTTTATTTTAGTATTTTAAAAGTTATTCAGCGTAAAATTGTTCTAATTAGACGTGGGTAAGATTACATTTGTTTTTAAAATATATATATTAGGGTTGAGCAGCGGATATATCGATTCGTTAAAATTAATCGAATCGAACTGATCCGATTCGTTATATTTTAGACGGATGCGTGATGACGAGCGGACGATTGCGGATTGATTTTCTCCAATCCGCCAATTTGGCGGATGGATGGCGGATTTGAGATTCCTTTAGCCGCAACCAAACCGCCAAACCGTGAGTACTCTTAGTAATTTATAAGACTTTATATTTTCAATTTATTTAAATATTTTGTTTGTATTTTTAATTGAAAAAGAGTTTAAATATTCTGTTGAAAAAAAAAATTCAACTTGAATATATTTTTTGAATTGAAAAAAATAAACGTATTATTTATCTATATTTTTTGATTTTTAAATCTAACTCTAAAAGTAATAAATAGAAAATATGATATATGTTGGTTGGTTTTTGTTTTCAAAACATATATAAATGTAACAATACAGAGACATACAATCTCTACTACTGCTCTGTTCATGGTCTTGGTAGTTTGAATTGTTTTTATATTTTAAGAACCACATATTATAATACTTTATGCGGATGAGGTATACTGTGATTGTAATATATGGATGAGGCATGCAGTGATTGTGATATTCTAAAGTTTCAAACTTTCTTTCTTTGGATGAAGCATGCAGTAGTTGTAATACTTTTTTAAGTTATTGACGGTAATACTTTATTTCTTTTTTTTTTTTTTTGTTTTTTTGAGGAAGTGCACAAGTTGAACTATGTTGAAAATTTATAAAATTTCAAACCGCCAAACCGATTCGCATCCATCTGCCAAACTGCCAATCCGCTCAATCCACTTCCGCCAGATTGATTTTCTCCAATCCGCCAATCTGGCAGACGGATGGCGGATTGGAGGTTCCGTGGCCGCAACCGATCCGCGCCCACCCTTAATATATATATATATTTATATATGATTTTAAAATGTAAATAATTTAAAATTTTAAAGGCAGATAATCATGTAATTAGTATTTTACTCTTTATGTAAATATTCTATTTAATGAGTTCAACAAATAAATAATTTGAATTTTTTAGTGTGAATGGTGAATTTGTCTCCATATGCGATTAGAGAGACGATGCATCTTATCCTGTATCTGTAAAAGAAATCCAAAGTTAGAGATCACTTTCGACTTAAGTAGGTCGGGGATAATCTTTCAACGATCAAGTCAATACTAAGGTCGGACATGACTATATAGAGAAAGTTGTACAATATAAAAGATGTTTGTGTGATTATTCTCATGTCCTTACCTGTTTTCTCAGTCTCCCTTTTATACTCAATTGATATATTGTTATTGGATGTTAGATCTCTTTTGATCAGATGATTGACCTTTTGTCAGAGGTCATTTTGATAGTAGCCAACTTGTAATCATTGTTAGCCGTCGAATCTCTCTTGATCTGACAATCGACCTTTTATTAGAGATTAGTTTGTGATTTGAGCTCGATTTCATTTGATATGTCCAATCAAGTTAGTCTATTTTCCTTGATTTTGGGCTTTGTTTATTTGGGTCAACTGGACCTATTGGGCCTATATTTGTATCAGGTCGAACTTTCATCCTCTATCATACCAAGTTTGAGGGGGTGTTTGGCAGAGCTTATAAACTGCTTATTTCAGCTTTTAACTTAATTTAAGCTAAAAACTTATGTTTGGTTCAGCTTAACTTGACCAACTTATAGCTTAAATAAAGCTAAATTTCAACTCTTTTAAAAAGTTGGTCAGGGGGTGCTTAAATATTTCAACTTAAGCGGGCAGCTGGTGTTGGGAGGTGAAATGACTTAAGTGTCCCTCCCAAACTTCATTGTTTACGAAAATGCCACTATATGTACTATTTGATGATCTCTCTTGCCCTAACTCTCGCCTCTCACACTCTTCTCTTCTATTCTCCTCTCCTTTGTCGATTGAGAAGAAGCTCTACCAGACACCCACAAAAACAATCGTCAACTAGAACAACAGTTCAAGCCCGAACCAGAACAAGCAGAAAACGAAGAACCTGAAGAAGAAGAAGAAGAAAAAGAAGAAGAAGAAAAAGGTGATGATAGTGATCAGCGAAAAATGAAGAGAGGTGATGCTAAAGAGTACGATGACGAGGGCGATCTCATCATTTGCAGGGTTAGTCAGCTTAAAAACCCTTTTTTTTTTCTTGGGTTTTAATTAAGTACTTGTTTGTTTTGTTGTGAGAGAGACTTTGATGTGGTTTGAACCGAAAGTAAACCCTAATCCACAAGTATTGCATATAAATCTAAATGTGTGTGTATGTATATTTGTGTAATTATTTATTTTATCAATGATCTTGACAGTGCCTTTGATTTGTTTGAGTAAAAATATCCTTTTTGATATAGAGTGCTCCAATGGCACACTTAAATTTCACAATTGTAAAACTCATTTTGGTATGACTTTGAGTAAAGGAGTGGAGAGAGAATTGAGCATTTTTTTACTCAAATTTAAATTTGATATATGGGTAAAGAGCAAGGATTGGAGATGCCTTTAAGTTGTGTGGATCTTTTTTTTTTTTTATGTGGAGAATTGATCAATTGGGTTGTACGAGTATTAATTTGTTTTATTTTCTTGGGCTTTCTCTTTCTATGCTTACCAAATTGTGTGTAAGTGTTTCTTTTCTTTTTCTTTTTTTTTTGTCTTATTTTTATGTTTTAAGATGGGAGAGAGATTGTGGTTTTTAATTGATTTACTAGTTTTGATATTTATTTGTTTTTTTTTAGCTGTCTGAGAAGAGAAGGGTGACAATTCAGGATTTCAGAGGGACGACTTTGGTGTCAATGAGGGAATACTACAGAAGAGACGACAAAGACCTTCCTACTTTAAAAGGTTTTTTATGCAACTTCAACTACTCAAATAGTTGTGCATTAATGCAAAATGAATTTTAGAAAATTGCTAATTGGTTGAATAAACATAAAATTTAAAATTTGAGATTGGTTTGTTTAGTAATCTGGAATGTTTTATTCTAGAAAATCATTCACTTCCTTATTTCCATTCATTCTAGAAAATCATTCACCGAGAGAGAGAGAGAGAGAGAGAGTTGTGGAATGCAGATCAAACACACATGTTGAAGGTGAGCTTGACCTGATCAATTTCAAGAGGAACAGGAACACAAATTTTTCGTGTTGTTCCCGTATTTGCTAAAACTTTTTCTTTTAGTAAGGTGTATCAAATCTACCCTCCAATTGTTACACTTATTGTTTTTGCCTGTTATGAATCTTGCTATAACTAATTGGTTAAACAATTAGGAATAATATGCTGGATTTTTGCTTTTATTGGATTGGCAAGCTGCTGGGATATGTCGATAATAGGATTTCAAGCTGTTCTTTGTATGTATATATTTTGAATTTTAAAGAGTAATATGTTTTGATTTCAAGCTGTCCTTAGGGGCTATATTATTGTGTTCTCAAGTGATATGCTTAGAATCTTAAAAGAATGATTTATTTCTTCTAAATTGAGAAAGATATTTAATTTCTTCTTCAAATCTAAAAATTTTATTTTTTTGCTTATGTTAAATTGCATTACTCTATCACTACAACAAAATTGACTTTTTACGGCACCACATCAACGGTATATAATAAATGCACGCTGTAGTTTCTTACTTTTACGACTTATTTTTTTTGCACGTCGTAAATACTTTTCTAACCACGGCGTATCTATTGCGTAGGCCGTGAATGGTAATAACGATGAATATTTTATAGCTTGCAATGCACGTCATAAATAATAAAACTTTCTACGACGTGCATGTGGCGTGCCGTTAATACATCAGTTATACACTATACATGACGCACATATGCCAGCCGTGAAAAGTGAATACTTTTCACAACGCACACAACGTTCGCCGTTAAAAGTATTACACTTTTTACAACACACATCGCATGCTGTTAAAAGTATTGCCTTTTTACGACGCATAATGCATGTCGTGAATTGTAAGAACAAAAAAAAATGCCAAAATAAAATTTGGGGCGCTACTCACAAGAAAAAAATATATATATTAGAAAAAAAATTTTCCCCCAAAATAACTATTTTGCCTTCCTTTAATTAGAATGGAACATCACAAGGATTTCAATCTCTCTATCTCTCTCTTTCTCACTCTCTAATGATGATGAAGGCCGAATCAATTGCTAGGGTTACCAGGATCATCTCATATCTTCTCTTCAGTTGTGTATCTAAAATCAAATCAAAGGTATCTGTCGTTGTCTTATGCTTCTTTTCTCTTCTTGGTTGTGTATCTGAAATCCCTAATTCATTCTCACTCCCAGCCCAGTCCTACCCTAGTCTCTTTCGCTTCTTTCTCTTTCAGCGGCCGTAACACTATGTGCAGTACCCATACGGTGACGTGGTGGCGCCGCCCTATTTCAACCACAACAATGGCGTCTCTCATCTCTGGCTTCCTCTCCAAACTTTTCCAAAATCTCAGCAATATTGTTGCCGGAGGGTATTGAGAAGAAAGTGGGTGTGAAAGAAGAGATTGAGGGTTCGGAGAGTCTTTGATCTTCGGAGCCATTGATTAGCCCCCAATCACATTATGGTTCGAATACAAAACCTGATTTGGGGGGTTTTGAGAAGATCTCTGTAAAAAAAAGAAGATTTTATGAATGGGTTTTATGAGTTTAAGATCATAAAGAGATAGGTTACAATATGTTAAAGAGAAAATGTCCTCCTTCATTGCAGAAGTAGCAATCTTCGAGAGTCACAGCAACAATGGCCGCAATGGTTGCTTTTCAGAGCTCATTCACTTCTTTTTCTCTCTCCTCAAATTCCTTTTTAGGCTAATGCATCCACAGTTCAATGTCTTCTCCCATTGTCTCTGTTTTGTTTCGTGTTATTTGATTTTGGGGTGAAACATCTCAAAATCGCCATATACAGTTCAAATTTAAGGTATGCTCTGTATTTTGTTTCTAATTTTTTTTTTCCAATTAATGCTCAGTTTTGATGTGTGAGGCAACTACTTTTTGTTATGTCTGAAAGAGTATGGCCATGAGAGAACAATCCACTTGTTATGTCTTGCATTAGCATTGCACACCGAGCGTTTGACCGTATGTCTATGAGAGAAAAATCATAACGATTGTTTGTTAACATATAAAAATATAGTTTCTACTACTATGATTTTGAAAAAAAGAGAGGGTGAAATCATAGTTTATGAATTAAAATTTATTAAAGTAATTAATTCAAAATGAAATTATTTCTTTTTTGCAACCAAACAGGCATGTGAAGCTCAAACATTGTCATACATAAGTTGGGACTATGTGGTGGTTTAGTTCAAGTTTTATTGTTGTAGTCAATATTTTGCAGTTTTGAATCCTACAAATAATACAACAACATAGTTCATCATTTTTTGCAATTACCAATTATTAAGAGGCTGTGACCAAAGGCAAAAAAAGCTGACTAAAGTTGTCATGTTATAAGATAATTAGGGGGGGGAAATTTATATATGGTGTAGTATAGATAACTACAATTTCTTTTTTACTTTTTACTAAATCATGTCTTTAAAATTAAATTTACGCTTCGTTTGTTTTGGACAAAAATATTTTTGGAAAACGTTTTTTGTGTTCTCTTGTGTTTTGGACTTATTGGTGTTTAGTTCAATTTTTTATTGTTGTAATCAATTTTAAATTTCTGAAGCTCTTGCAAAGGTTTAGTTTCTTTTTGTTTGAGTCACATACACAATCTGAACTTATGTTTTGAACATTGATAGTTGGGTGTTCAATTTGTGGGTTTAATAATAAGATTATGCTGCTTGCAGGGTTAGTTAGTAGATGCAATTTATGATCCTTCAAATGTCTTCTGGAAGTTTGAAGGCTTATGACTTCCAAATTTTGTGACCTCATTCAAGGGTACAAATTATAATCAACCAAAACCAAGCTCAAAGTAGTATAAACTGTTGTCATTAATGAAGTAGTTTTTCCTGTTTTTTTTTTGTTGATGTCTATAAATAGTATTGATGAATTTTTCAATCAAATTAGTCATGGATGAACTGTAAATGGCACACTTTGAACTCCATGATTCAAATAGCAATTATATCATACTATCCATATTCTTTTTTCATGTTTGATTGCCTAACATGCTGAAAAAGAAAGACAAGGTGCTTAGGTAAAATGGTACACAAACATAATGGGGTCTCAAGAGTACTTTTTGAAACTATGAGCCTACGTAATGGGTATTTTGTTTGAAAATGAAAGAATAATTTGGCAACCAAACATTTTGTATAAAAGTATAGATTTCACTGTATTCTTTTTCACAGTGAATACAACCAAGCAATGATTTGGGCCATCAATAAAATTGACCCATGACACTATTTGTCAAATAAATCAATGATACTACATCTTCCTCACTTTTGATTAGTAAAAGGGGAAAGTCTATAGTCAGAGAGAGATGTATAATGATATTGGGGGTTCAACTCTCCCAAGTTTCTAATATACTAACTAATTACTGACTTTCGCCGATCAAAAAAAAAAAAAAAAAATTTAGTGTCAAGTGATCTCATTAATATTTAGCAGATCCTAGCATAAACTTTCTCAACACCCAATGCCCCGTGCATCTTGAGCTGCTATGTCAAATTTAAGCTGAATTGGACACTGTGTTTTGAACTTTTAAATGCTAACATTTTTCATCATGTAATACTACTTTTTTGCCCATAATTTTAATTTTTTAGAATAGAAATTAGCCCCATTTCAAGGATCCTTATCAAAGGCAATGAAGTAAAATGAATTGACAACTTGATTTTTCACTCTGCACAAAATCAAGCAAACACTTCTATATACTCCATAAGTTTTCTTTTGTTACTTGCTTTATATTTTAAACTTCTTGTAGTGATTTTTTGAGGCACAGTTTTCTTTCAGTGCCAAATTTCAAGTCAACAGTGCAGCTTTTGGGTTATTAGTTAAAAACATAAATTTTCCAAAGGTCCAACAAAATGTAAAAACTTTTAGTTGTCACGACACCCAAACACTAGTCCATGTGAAGTGGCTGGAAATGGTACATTTTTAAAGAATTTTGTTTAATCAAGGCTTCCTTGTTTTCAACTGAATACCGATGATCTTCTCATATTCCTTAATATGTGCAGCTGTTTCGTTTCATTATCTCATCTTTGAAGTCTGGAAGATCTTCATATCTAATGGATGTTATTGTGGGTCTGCTTTATCCTATAATTTTTTTGCAGGTATGTGCAGTATAACTTTTATTGTTTAAGGTTCCTAATTGTTCCAGAAATTCACCAATACATCTCATTTTTTTTTTTGAATCTATCAAACTAGCTTTCTTTTGTGAACTTTCAATCTATCCTCATTTTTTTTTTTGAAAAAGGTAATTCATAATCCTGCTTGTAGCATAAATGAACTTTCAATTGGGCTCATGTTGTGAGTGGTTTTCACCCTATTGCAGGTACATGATCTCCTCAAATATAGGTGAGGTTGCCTCAATATTTTTAACAGAGGCATTAGGGGTCCCAGAAGGCCTAATCCCTGTCCAACCCTTGTGGGTCAACCTTGTCACAGATGGACATCCTGCGACAGCCACCAGATAGGGACATCATGAAGAAACCCCCTCGCTGAGGTGATGACATGCTCATCAATCCTTGGACTTTATTCTGCTATCTGGTAAAAAGTTTGGAAAAGAGGTACTTCATTAGAGGCAACTTTATTAGATGTATGAAAAAAAAAGGTTTTGCCTTATATGGATTTTATTTGCACATACGTTGAGACTATTGAGATCTTGAATTTTTGCTAATTTTTCATTATGACATTGCTTTTATAGGGCCATTGAATTATCTTATTAATTTTGGAAATGTTTTGTTGATGTTTTAAAATTTCTTGATCATTTCTTAATACCTCAAGAAATATTTTTGTCCCCGAGTTGTTGGTTTTTGTACTTATGTGAAGTTTCCTTTGTCATGCAGACAAGAAATGCAACAGGGTTAGTTGCTTTAGCTATTGCTGCGGATTTAGGTGCCTTAACACATATGTTGGGCTAGGGGTGCTTGCGGATCAATTTTGTGCGGTTTACGGTTCCGTTTTGACCCACCCGCATCTATGCGGTTTGGAAAAAAGTCAATCCGCAACCGCCCGCAGTGTGGTTTGCAGTTTGTGCAGATAGGGTTTGCAGATGTGCGGGCGATTGCGGGTGGTTTGCGGTTTACACTTTTTTCTATAAAAATTAATTTTTGAGTTTTTTTTTCCCATCGAATTTAGACATCAGATTCATTTTATATATTTGTGATCATTTGACAACAATTTTCTGATGAGTTTACAAATAAAAATTAAATATCAATGCATTAAATGAAAGTACCCAAAACAAAGAGACCCTACACTAGCATTTTTGCCATGAAAAAAATGTATATCAATGCATTAAAAAAAGGTATATCAATGCATTAAAGGTTGTACTCAATTAGAATTGTCAGTTCAGTAATCAATAATCAAAATAAAAGTTCCATCGACCACCAGAAGGAGAATTTTATTAGGAAAAAGTGGATGAGTTACCAATGAAAATCATATAAGAAACTAAGTTTAGGACTTGATAATTCTACGGCATTAAGAAAGTTGAGAAATACTTAAAAATAAGGATCCTAGTGTCATAGAGAAGATAATGGTGCTCCTGTTAAAATTACAAAGTTGGTATATAAAAAAAATAATAATAATAATTAAAGTGCGGGCGGTTTTTGCGGGTTGCGGGTTTAACCCGCGACCCGCCCGCAACCCGCAAATTTGTCATATTTCAAACCGCATCCTTCCTTTGTCATGCAGACAAGAAATGCAACAGGGTTAGTTGCTCCAGCTATTGTTGTGGGTTTAGGTGCCTTAACACCTACATTGGACACCCTCGTCCCTGTGATAGGGGCAAGTGGATTTGCTACAGCTGCAGCTGCAACTGCTATAAGAACTATTGTTGGCAGTTTTAGATAATGTATTAATAATTGCCGATATATTTAGAAAGTTAGATATGCATAGTTTTGGATGGCTGAAACTTTTTGTACAGTTTAGAACTTAAGGATATAGTTTTCGAATGTTTAGAATGTATAGACAATTGTTGAATGTTTATAATTTATGGATATAGTTTCTTTTTTATGTTTCAAACAATATTTTGGTGGTTGATTGATGTTTTGTAATGCTTGTTTGTAATATTTGTTAAATTATACAAAATTGGTCAAATAGAACTTGATGAATTTAAAAATAAAAAAAATTACATATTCTACGGCAGGCATAATTAGTCGTCCTATTACATATTTTACGGCGCGCAATTAGCATCATTATTTGTCTTGCCAATTAACGGCGTGCAAAAGTAGTCGTAAAAAAAATAACAACGACGCACAAAATCTGCTGTTAAATAGTTTTTGAGAGCGTATTGTAGCATGTCGTAAAAAAGTAACAACGACGCACAAAATTTGTTGTTAAATAGTTTTTAACGGCGTACGAAGCATGTCATTGAAAGTGAATGACTTTCCATGACTAGTCATAATATGAAGCGCACTGCATGTCGTAGAAGGGTTTTTACGGCTTGTATTGCGCGCCGTAAAAACCCTTTTTTGTTGTAGTGCATGTTTGCTTCTTTAATTTCATTTCTCTAAATGAAGTTGGGGTTCTTTTTCTCATATTTTCTTGTGTTACATGAATTTACGTCCAACACTCTATGTTTCAGAAATGACCAGAAGTCTCCAACTACGCCCGAAACAAAACAAGAACATTTCAAGGCCTTGGTTTATCAAACAGCAACACCTTTCTTAATCGAAAGAACCAATCGGTTTGTAAATGAGGTTGAACTGTTCCTAGCTTCGGGTTTGAATATTGAAGCCTATGACAAAGTTTACATGCAGCATTTGGGTTGGAAAGTTTCTGGGATTACCACTGAAGGAGAAGTTAGTGGAAATGCACCTTTAGTTCCATACCTGTTTTTGTTTGACGAGGACTGATGAAATTGAGTGATCATTTTGTCTTGAAAATATAAATTAATATTTGTTTTTGTTTCATTTGTTTTGTAATCTTCATTTGGTACTCTTTTGGACGAACATTGTAGTAAGTTCTGTTTTGTGTAAAAAGATGAGGTGTACCAATGGAGAGAGAAAAATAAGTCTTTAATTTTTGGGGGGGTTCATTTTGTTTTGAGTTTCATTACCCCAAAAGGAGATTTGTATGTTGAGAGGTGAAACTTTTTGGGAAGATGATTGTGGCCCTATTTCGAGCAGATTATTGGACAGAATTGAGGATAAACTGTGTAATGTTTGTTGGGTTGTGTTTGTCTTTTGTTTTTTATTTTTATTTATTAGAGCATTACTTTGTTTGGCAAGTTGTTCTTCAAAATAGTTTTTAATTTTTTTGAAAAATAACTCAGTGCTTATGGAATACTTAAGAAGTTATCTTTTAAAAATTATTTTCTTCTTGTAGTATTTTTATTTAGAAAATATGAAAAATAAAGAAATAAAGAAAATAAAACCACAAGCCTTATTAATAATCAGTGAGATTAACACATACTCATTCATCATATGATAGATTCATGGATTACGTGCCTATTGAAGAGGAAGGTTCTTCATCTCAACAAGCACGCCATGAAAATTATGTTGCAGTTAATGACAACGAGATGGAAGTGAGGAGACATAATATTTTTATGTCAATTTGAAAACGAAATTAGGAGTTCTTTAAATATCTAGGAAGTTTTATTTTTATTGCCTTAATAGTAATTTATTGTATTTTTATTGCAATGACATTTTCTTGTTCCCTTATGAACTCCATATTAAAAAATAAAAAATAAAAAATTGAGGTAATGGAAATATGTAGCAAATTAAGTACTAATTATATCAACTTCCATGAATAAAATAACTTTTTCAAAATTTAAAGTGAAGAAAATGACAAAATTACAATTTTTATATTCATAAGGGCAAAAATGACAATTACACAGCAAAAAGTTGTTTTACAACTTATTTACCAAACACTACTCTGCTGCTTAAATACATAATCTCACAGTTGCACCAAACAAGTTACCAACTTATTTTCATAGCTGGAAGCTATAATCTATAATTACTTTCCCACAGTTTTACCAAACGGGGCCTGAGTTTAGTGAACTTAACAATATCTCTACAGTTAATTTTTTAAAATCTGATTTGAAATTGTATGAGGACGAAATAATCTTCTCGTATAATCCCGTTGATCAAGTTTGCACTCCTCTAAACGTCGTCGCTTTACTTCCTGAAAACACAAATGTGAGCTAGCCGGCAGCTATGTGCCAGATACCTCTCCGATGCCTAAGTTAGCAAAATAGACAATAGACAAAAAGCTCTGTATCTTTGAGGGTAAAAATTGTGATGTCTGTACATAGGTCCTGTTATGAGTTTTTATAGATTTCACCTAACACAATCCTAGTAAGACTCCAACTCTCCTTATAAGAGTCCTCCTAGGAATCACATTCCCAAGGATAACACCCTCATCACTACAAACCAAGTGAGATGGCTGAACCTTTTACCTCGGCTGACACTGCAGTCAACCAAGTTACTTCGGCTCTGTGCTCAACATAGGCGAGCTGTGATAACCCTATCACAGGTCGGCATCATGCCGAGCTATACCTAGCTCTGCCCATCGCCTTGCTACTAATCTCGGTCAGAAGGTAGATAGGTCCTAACTCCAGCAACACATCTAACCGTCCTGGTACTTACCTCGGCCCAAAGCTGAAATACAAAATACCTCCTTGGTCCATTGTGCGGTTCAATTTCCAAAGAACACTCGTCCTAGCTCGGCCTAATTTATTCATAAATTACCCTCTCAATTTCCCTTTAATTCCATCTGTGTAGTATAGACACCCCATTTTTGACCGACCTTAAGACTCAAACGTCATCGATTGAGTGCTCAATGATCGCGCATGTTTGTGCTCATTTCGAGTTTCTGGAGTTTTCGGTTGAGTGCCTTGCCTCCGGGCCTCTAAACTCTTTGTGTTTTGGCTTGGTTTGTGGACCATGCCTTGTTGACCTTGCCTAGAGGGAGAGAGAGGCCTGTAGGCCGCTTTTCGTAGTCGTAGACTACTTTTCCCTCTTGTAGGCTAGTTTTCGGTTTCCGAAGCCTTCGACCGAGCGCCTCGTCTCGGAACCTCTTAATGTTCTCCTCTTGGCTTGGTTTTTGGACCATGCCTTGTTGCCTTGGTCTAGAAGGAAATAGAGGTCTGTAGACCACTTTTTGTGGCCGTAGACCACCTTTCCTTCTCGTAGACCACTTTTTGCGCCCGTAGACTAGTTTTCGAGGCTTCCGGCTACGTACCTTGTCCCGTGGACTTTTGTCTTGCTTCCTTTTTGGTTTGGTTTTGAACCGAACCTTGTTTTCCTTGCTTGGAGGGTGGAATAAGGGGTGTAGACTAGTTTCTCTCCCTGAAGACTACTTTTCTTCCCTGCCAGCCAGTTTTCTGGTCGACCAACTGGTTTTGGTGGTCTGTGGACCACCAAAAGTGGTCGGCAGCCATGCCACCACCTTGCTTTCTTTGTGCAGACCACTCCTCCCTCTTGTTGGCCACTTTCTCTTCCTGCAGACCACTTTTTCTGGTTGGCCGAACAGTGCAAGTAGCTGGCCAACCACTTCAACTGGTCGGCAGCTTTCCTGCACTTTCTGCAAATATTTTCCATGCCAGCTGCTGGGCACAGAAAGCATCCTCCATGGATTGATTCAAGCTTCAAGCTTGTTAACAAGCTTAATACATGTTTTTCTATAAAAGGGAGCCTCCTCCCTCTTGCTTTAGGTTCAGAAAAATTGCTTAGGGCATATACATATCATCTATCTCTATACTTCATCCTTTCTCTACATATTTGTGCTTGAAAGTGCCATTTCTTTACACTTTTGCCCACAAACACCTAGTGAAACACCTTCATTCTTGAGCTGAGATTCTTGGAGGTTTGTTTGAAGCTCAAGGTTTGGTTTTTGCCTCAGAATTTACTGTCTTGCTTTAATTCTTCAAGGGTGAGTCTCTAATCCTTTTAAAGCCTTGTTGTAGTTGCTTACTAGACCACATTTGCATGCTTATTTTGGCTTGACTCTCAACTGTAAAAAATTTTAGTTTTAAGTGTTTGAAATGTTTGTTTGAGGCTCCTTGGGTGTTGGGGGTGTTCTACCACCTTTTGTGCCTTGTTTGGCCTTGTTTTGGGCCATCACTTTAGGCCTTTGTAATCACCTTTGTTTGGCCTTCCTACCATTGAAACTCAGAGAAATTTCAGTGGTGGAAACTTGGTTTTGAGGCCCTAAATGGGTGGGGGTTGTCCCCCCTCCTCTTCTATTGTGTGCTTTGGTTGATGGCTTATCAAAGTAGCATGTTTGTTAAGCTTGTTTTGGCTCCATCTTAGCATGTCTTAGGCATTATTTCAGCATGTTATAGCTCTGTCTAGGGTTGGTTTGATATCCTCTTGCATGCTCCTTGCACTTGTAGTGTATTTCCATTCACTAGCTTAACATGCATCATGCTTTTGACCATCATTCTAGCATGTTTTTGGCTAAACTCCAGTAAGCTTTTACTCATGTTTTGCCATGCTTAAGCTCTGTTTTAAGTGTTTTAGGTCATGCATGCCTTGCTTTGTATAGCCATAGTTCATTCTTGCTCACTAGCTTTGTGTTTCGAGTCCACTAGCATGCATTGCTTGGGCTATTTGTATGATCTAGCATCATTTGATATATGATTTCAAATCATGTTTCATTGTCATACACTCACATCTTTCACTCTTTCAATGCTTTGGAGGGTTGGTGTTTTATGCCTTTAGTATGAGCCAATGTGTATGCCATCTTGCCTAGGCCTTTGGGCTACCATTTCAGTGTATATTTGGTCTTGTTTTACCATGTTACAACTCTGATTTTTATTGGTAAAGTCATCTCATGCTTGGTTTTGGCAGTGTAGAGTAATCATGCTCATTGGCCTAGCTTACTTGATGTTTTAGCTTACCATGCTAGCTTGTTTTGGCTATACTCCATATATGTTTTAGCATTGTTTTGACATGCTTTAGGACTGTTTTAGATGTTCTTGGCCTTTCGGGGCTTGCTTTGTATAGCTATAGTGCAAGTGCCTATGCTAGTTTCAAGCTTTGGGCTTCCTAGCATGCTTTATTTGTGACATGTGCATGATTTGGCATCGTTTAACATGTTTTTTCAGAGCATATAGCATGGCCATATTCTCACTCTTTTCATTCTTTGAATGCTTTTAAGGGTTATGCATTATTGCCTTGTTTGTGGGCCAACTTGTATGCATGCATGCATGCCTAGACTTGTGAGCTCCTATCTTAGCATGTTTTGGTCTTTGTTTTGACCTAATTGAGCTCTGTCGATGGCTGGTTCAGTCATTTGTGCCATGCATTGCATGCCTCTTGTGTAATCCCTTTTTGTAGCCTTGTGCCTTAGGTCTCCTAGCATGATTCATTTGTCACATGTGCATGAGTTGGCATCATTTCACACCTGATTTCAGAGCATATAGTGTTGTCACACCTCTATGTTTGTCACTTCTTAATCATGTTTGAAAGTTGTGCTTTTATGCTTAGTTGATGGGCTATTGCATGAGCATCACCATCTTGCCTTTCATGCCCTCATTTCGGGGTATTTTGGCCACTGTTTTGGCATGATTTAGGTCTGTCCATATTCGGTTTAAGTCCATTGAGCATTGTATTGCATGCCTCTTGTGAGATGTTCTTTCCTAGCTTTGATGCCATAAGCTTCTAAACTTGCCATGTATGCATTGTCCATATGATAGAGTCTTGTGCATGCATTGCATTGTGTGTGTTGCATTGTGTTTGGATTGAACGTTAATCCAAACATGAGAAACGAGGGACGTTTCATACTTGAAGTGATAAAACGTGCCTCATTTCTCGATCGCCGACCCTCTTGATCAAGCATGATAGAGGTAGAGGCACTTATGTGTTATTTGTGCATTCATTGACATTGAATTTTGCAAACTTGGCTTCTCGGGCATCATGCATTGCGATGTTCGGTTGGTGGCTCGAGAATCGAGTACCGCACTCCTTTGAGCTTAAGAAATGATAGGGATGGTGGTTGTGCAAACATACCTTGCAAATACAAACCAGAAAAAGTAGCTGGCCGACCACTTTTTCTGGTCTGCAGCATACTTAGGTGGTCTACAGGTGGTCTACAACACCACTAAGTGGTCAGCAGCCTTCCTGGAGGTCTCCATGTTGGAGTAGAAATTATCTGGAGGTTTGTGCAGTGTTCTGAAGCCAAATGCAAACAGAGGCAAGTTGGGGCATAGTAATGGATTTTCGAATGAGGCGACCTGAGCATGCATGCACTTCTCGTCCCGAGACT